CGTGAGGGTATAGCCCTGGTGGAATTTCATATTAAGAGAAGGGAATTATTCTTCTTCTCTTTATATGCGTGTAAATTGCAAATTTTAGTCATACTTGTACTCAATTCAAAATAATGAATTGTGTGTGATTCCTCTTAACATCTTTCATCACAGGGGAAGTTTGCTTCCAGTACAACAGCCAGTTGTAAAACTGGTAAGTAACTTCATTTACACTAAGTGGATCCTTTTTCACATTACACTTGCAGTCTGTCCTATAACTATTGTTTAAAAATTATTACCTCTGAATCCTAATCCACTTATTACCAGCTAATAGTTGCCGTTCTTCAATAATTGTTTTTCTTTCTTTTTTATTTTGATAACTTGTATGAATTTTCTAGAATTAAATACAACATACACTGGGCTGTGTGCATCAGTATGATACGTAAACTGTGTAAGGTTGTGTATGTGTGTTGTGTATAAATCTAGTTCTTGTGTTAAAATGTTTTGTGTTTGAGAAACCTCAATGATTTGGTTTTTGTGTTCCGGTTTTCGTTTCGCACAAATTAAACTGGATCGCGGCCTCGCTATAAATTCAACCAAAGTCAGAGTTAAAATCGATGGCCAATAGATCAAAATGAAGAGAGTGACTCATGATGAACCACGCCCTTCGTGAGAACTGTTGGATAGTCTTTAGGCCTCATATTATTGGGCACGACCTATGTGTTTTGGGTCACGTGATCACTACATCACCAAAATACACAATGAAAACTATGAACAAAACCACAGATCAGCTATCACCACTCCCTTTTGTATTTGAGATTCGCTTCCATTTATGAACTCTTGTACTAATAAATGGAATGAAACCTTGGTTAAATTTGTATCTAATTTTCTTGTTCGAGCCCTCCTTTATTTTTTAGGTTTCATTAGAGAAAAGATTTTATAATGGACCAATCTCATTCCAGCTACCTATACTAGCCGATTTCTTGTGCATAACATATAAATGACCACCTCTAAGCTCGCTGTAGATGGCAAGGCCTCCACTAGCCTGAGTATCACGCGTTTCTGGGGGGAAAGGGGAAAGAAACCCCTCCCCCCTCCCCCATCTAAAATCTCCTCTCCCCTAACCCCTTAGGAAGGCCTGATACTCAGGCTAGGCCTCGACTTAAGATACAGACAGTTCAAATAGAAATTGCTTTTCCACGTGTCTTTTTTTTTTTTACAAAGAATACGATGCTGGTTTTCACTTCTTTGAGAAAGTTGAAGATCTACCAACCCGAGGAGCTTCTGGTGTCGAACATTTTTTCATCAACGGGACTCTGTTTCTCGCTTTTGCCAACTACTATGGGGACATCCGCAAGTACAAGACGAGTTCCACGATCTACAGGATGGACGAATCAACTGGAAGATTAACTTCGTATCAAACCTTGCAAACAAGTGGAGCTTTAAACACTGAATACTTTACGATCTCTAATGAACATTTCCTTGCCGTGGCCAATCATTACGCCGATGGAACTCGCCTGAGAGACTCCACAATTTACAAGTGGAATGGAAAGCTGTTTGTCGTCGTTCAGAAAATACCTACAAAAGGAGCAAGTCACTTTACATTTTTCACAATAAATGATAACAAATACATTGCAGTGACAAATTACTATGATGGTAGTACCTATTCCATAAAATCAGTCATCTACAAATGGAGTGGCAGCCAGTTTAACAAGTTTCAGGAGATAGCAACAGAAGGTGCGAGAGGATGTGAGGTGTTTATAATTAAAAATAACACTTTCATCGCGTTTGCAAACTATTATAACTCCCAGAGGAAAAATTCTGTTCAGTCGACAGTATTTAAGTGGTCGGGAGGACACTTTGTCAAACTACAATCTCTTCAGACTTATGGAGCGTGGGATGTGAAATCCTTTCAAATCAATGGTCACACATTCCTTGCCTTTGCCAACTACAAATCTGGAAGAAAATTCAATACCGACCCCTTCATTTTCAAGTGGAATGGCAACAAATTTGATTTGTTCCAGTCCATTCCTACACGTGGAGCCCGAGCATTGCATCCATTTGTGATCAGCGGTCAGACGTTTTTGGGTGTGGCCAATTATTATGGTGACAGTCAGAAGCTCAATACAAAGTCCGTTGTGTACCAGGCCTCCGGCTCGCGGTTCGTCATCTACCAGGAGATTCCAACTCAGGGAGCATCTGACATAACTTCATTTGAGTACAAAGGTGATACGTACCTGGCAGTGTCAAGTTATTACAACGGTCAGAAATACAACACCAACAGCGCTTTGTACAAATGGATGTAGAGCGACAATTACACGAACTAGATCCGAGAAGTAAAAGATCTAATTCATACCCATATAGGTAAAATAATCTGCTGACTTTTAAATATTGGCGAATAAGTAGTTTTTGATAAGCTTTAAAATATATATATGAGACGTTGAAGCACAATATAAATTTATCTCATTTTTAATTTGATTTAAAGAGCTATGGCTTAATCTACCGCGAGGCACAAACGTTTGCGGGAGTAATATTGCAGAGGGCTATTTTGTTTTTCGAGACTGCTTTCATAAGTTTTTTTTTCGAATTTTTAGCAAGCTCTATACAACGTTTTTGTCAGTCTTCATTTAAGTACATATGTAATAGAACAATTGAATTTGTCATTAGTCTATTGCGTTTATCATCATCATCATCATCATCATCATCATCATCATCATCATCATCATCATTTTTTACCCTTTTTTATAGCAAATTTAACAGGATACAGCAGCTTGTTAGCCGAGGAGGCCACAAGAAACGACCAGGCTTATAAAGAGAGGCCATCTTGCGTGGTTTAATGCTTTCTGCCAAGTTATATTTTTCCGACCATTTGGTAAATACTTGTGGAACATTTCTCTACCGATCTTGATTAAACCACAAACAATAAGTGCCACGTGGTACGTTCAAGTGGAGTGCCAAAGCACCATTATTCTGCCAGGCACAATGTAGAAAACGATCAATGTTTTAGTGCCGTTTAAGATTTCCTGGTGTCCTTGGGATAAGAGCTATCATAGAAAAACAAGACTTTTAAAATATTTTTATTACTGTTTTGTGATTGATAAAGACCGGTTTCTTAATTTTCGCCATTTTCAGCGAAAAAAAAAAAAGTTAAATTTTCAAGGCTCTTTTCCTTTAGAAGCCATTTTGCCAACGCTCGATCGAAGCTAAAAGATAAGGATCGATATTCAGTGATTTGTAAACGTAACCCGCCCATATTCTACACGCGTCATCATACAATAAATTCATGTCGAGGCTTGGATGGACAATTCTGTATTTGGTCAACCCATCCCTTGAGCTGGTGCCTTTGTTCACAGGAATGCGACAAAGGACTATGCCCAGTGCAGATCGAACTTGAAATCCTCCTATCTGGTTCTAGAAAAAGTTACACCACAGCCTCAGAAAAGCAATAAGCTTCAATTAATCTACGCAATAAACACGAAGTCGACTCCCGGAGTCGACTTAAACGGAGAAGTTGTCTTCCTTCCTCTTTACATTAGATTTAGTTGTTACTATAGTTATTAATTAGATATATACTTATATAAATAACGAAAGAAGATTATAACGTAATTCAGCGCCTATACGTAACCATTACTTCGACATTTACTAGGAGAATTGATTCTGGAACGCAGCCTACGGTACTTGCAAGGTGTTACATCTTACATCGCCCCATGGATGGAATCCAGATTCCAAAGTCCGGGGAAATTTTGCTTGTGGAATCTGTAATCCTGTGTTTTGGAATCCACAATACAGCTAAAGGAATTCGGAATCTTACTAACGATTGGAGTCCACAATCCAAGATCTACTGACAAATACTAGAATCAAGTACCTGGAATCCGGAATCCTCAGCGTGGAATCCCGAATCCAAGAATGTCCTGGATTCCTTTTCATGGGGCACTGTTACATCATGATGCCTGGGCCGGGTTGTTCAAAGCAGGGTTAAGATAACCCAGGGTTAGTGCGAAATTTCAATTCAGATATGAAAGCTTAAGAACAAAATTCATCTTTTTTCTTTTGGTCTACAATTTAATGACTGGATGCTCAACAAAGAATCGAGAAAATTATCCGGGAAAATGCTTTTGAATAAAAGACAAAGAATCCCAGGTTAAAATTTAACCCCGGGCTAGCGCTAATCGGCCTTCGAACAACTGGGCCCTGATCTAAAAAACAGTGAGCTCTTAAATGTTATATAGGAATAAAGCTATAAAAATAAGATTAAAAGTTACCGTTTCGAGGGGTGCGAATTATATTTAAGTTGAAATTTCATATGAAAGAGAAAACTAAGCATGACAGATATTATTCATTGTGTTTCAGTGAGTATGATCGGATTCGTTAATTTATCGTTTGTCTCACGTTAGCCACTCAAGAAAGTTTTTATTGATCGCGTCTAGTTGATCACTTGCTGTTCGGTAGTATTCATCAGGCGATGGTGTCAAGATCGCCTGTTTTGAGGAATTTTAGTAGCATCGTGGTCGAATGCGAAATTGTAACTGATTGTTTCCTTGTTCCTTGGTTCCCCTGTTTCCTTGTTCCCTTGTTCCCCTGTTCGCTGTTTTCCTGTTCCCCTGTTCCCCTGTTGCCCCTTTGTTCCCCCTGTGCTCTTGTTCCTCTTGTTTCCCTGTTACCACTTGTTCCACCTGTTCCCCTTTTTTCTCGGTTCCCCTTGAGGCCCTTGTTTCCCTATTCCTCTTGTTCCCCTTTATCCCCTATTCCCCCTGTTCCCCTGTTCCCTTTGTTCCCTTGTTCCTCTTGTTCCCCTCCTGTTTCTCTTGTTCCCCTGTTTCCCTTATCCCCCCGTTCTCCTGGTCCCCTTCTTCCCCTGTTCACCCTTGTTCATCCTTTTCCACTTTTTTTCCCGGTTCCCCTTGCTCCCCTTGTTTCCCTGTTCCCCTTGTTCCCACCTTCACATTGTTCCCCTTCTTCCACTGTTCCCTCTTCTTCTCCTGTTCTCCTTGCTCCTTTGTTCCCCTGTTACCCCCGTTCCCCTAATTCCTCTCGTTTCCCTGTTCCCCTTGTTCTCCTTTTCCCCCTTGTTCCCCCCGTTCTTGTTCTTCCCTGTTCCCCTTGTTCCCCATGTTCCCCTGTTCTTGTTCGTCCCTGTTCCCCTTTTTCCCCTGTTCTCGTTGATCTCCTGTTCCCCTTGTTCCCCTGTTCCCCTTATTTCCTTTGTTCCCCTTGTTTTCCTGTTCCCCTTGTTCCCCTCGTTCCCCTATTACCATTGTTCCCTTGTTACCTCTCTTCTCCCTGTTTCCCTTGTTCCCCTGTTCTCCTGTTCCCCTTGTTACCATGTTCCTCTTGTTCTCCTTGTTCCCCTTAATCTCCCGTTCCTCTGTTCCATTGTTCCCCGTTCCCCTTGTAACCACCTACATAACAAGGTTGGTTAACGTTGTCTTAAGTAATGTAAAGAAAAAGGGAACAAGTGGTAATTTGGGGGGATGTTTCATAGATATCGCCTACAGACTGGCTTTAATTATTCAAATAAAAATCTATTTTCTACAACCCTATCATGAGGTGATTTTGGCGCAATATCTGTGACGGAGCGAGCCGATAGAGCAAGTGGAACGTCACATATCGGATAAGTTCTGTGCCACATTTTGGTACAGTATGAACAGGCACTGATTCGCACCTTAGCGGAAGTGAATAAGTAGTAGCGTGGACTGGAATCCACTGACAAGGAATTCAGAAGTGAGAATTGGGATGTGGTTCACCAAACCCTCTCTGTCAACAGCTAACTGAAACAGGCTCCAGCGCGATGTTCGATGTGTGTGTGAACGATTTGTTCCTGAACTGCGGATCCCAGGGGCGGATCTAGGGGGAGGGTGCAGGGGGTGCGCACCCCCCCCCCTCCCTGCGGTTTTCTAATACAACTGGTATTCTGCAAAAAAAAAACTATGTGGTTTATTGGTGTTGAAGTAGAGCAAGAGACGAGTGCACCCCCCTCCTAAAATAAATCCTGGATCCGCCTCTGGATCCCCTCTATGCTCTAAGTTGAACTGACGCATCTCTTAGTCCTAAACGTAAAGGCAGTTTTTTAAGTCATCCACCTTAGAAAGAACTCACTTCATCGTTGAAATTTTGTGGCAAAATAACATATTCTGTTGGTTTTTACGACAAAGTACATTTCCTACAGTCCAAATCTACCCAGTCCAAACCCGTAATATATTGACGGATACCCTCTGATAAAAGATTCGTCTTCCTTTGTATCTTTTCATCCATGCATAAGTTCATAACAAAATGTACGTTTCTTCTAAATAGGTACCATGCAGTTTTTAGCTCACGATATTGATATTAAGTGAGTTATTGCTATTTGTATGAATTTAAAACAGTTTCAGTAGTATTGGCTTAGACGTAAAAGTCACCAGAAGAAAGAATATTTTTCTAAATATTTATCCATTGAACTGTTTTCAGAGATCGGTTTTCGGCCAGCTAAGGCTCCCAACGGAGCCCCATCCTAACCACTTAGGATCAGTTAGGCACCCAGCCATGGAAGCGACATCGGACTTTCTGAACTGAGAATCAGGCAGGAAAGTTACCCTTCTCCTTTCTCCCTTCCAAATGAACCTGAGTTGCAAAAACGATTGGGGTGTCCAGTACGTTCGAAGTCTGTCATAAGACATTCGAATATCAAGTAGGTTAACTTCTGCGTTACACTCGTCCCACCAATGTCGACCGTATTGCGGACCTACACCTTAGCCGCTAAGCCTTGTGCAGGTGAGGCTACCAAGTCAAATATGGCGGACGTGTTAACGTGTCCGAGCTAAAGGAGAGAGTACTGACTATTGGACCATCGTAAACTATTATTTTGTACATTTGAAAGAAAAATATGCCTCGGAGAAAGCACAGGGGGAAAGGAACACGTTCTGAAAAACTTCGGAAGGCATTATGTGACAAAGACGTGATTGGTGGAGGTAAGGTTTTAAACTGAATCGACGTACTTCCCTGTAAAGTTACAGTGTAATTGTGCTTAAGTAGCTGTTAAGCTAAATTTCAGATCATTAAAGATGAACTGTAAGTACATTTTACAGCATGAAATGTTAGTTTTCTCCTTCTAGCAACGGTTTGTAAAGTCTTTAATTCGAACATGTCAGGGAACCACACCCTGATTAAACTTTCAGCCACAACATAGCTCAGGCCCATTTCAAACGTCGATTTTTTCATTTACCGAACCTAATTCCCTCCATCAAGTACATGCAAAGATCGACGTTTGAATCAATTAAGTCCGACTTTTCTAATTTGGGTCGAGTGCTTATCTCCTGATATGGGAATTTCGACTGAGGAGCGACTTGGTTTCAATCGTCGAACTTTTCATGTGCTGAACCTAATACAGAAATTACTGTACCGGTAATTTATTTTCACCGGTAAACATTTTAGGCCATTGTAAATCGTAAAAATGAATTGAGTACAGCAAAGTAAGTTCAATATCTGAATCAACCATTGAACTTACATCATTTTGGTCAACCCAAATAGCTTTTAACTTTGTTACATGAAAAGTTTGACATTCAAACTGGGCCTTAGTTAACTACATCCTCCCTTGTGTCCTGTCCTCTACGTAGGATTAGATAGCCAAGGTGGACACCAGACTTTTTCTTGTCAGCCATAAGCACCACCTACACAGTTTAATAAAATGAATATCAATTTAGAATGCATCATTACATGTGATTTGCCCCTTATATTCTCTTAGAACAGTCAACAATTTTACTTATTTTTTAAATGCTTCTCTAATAGAGCATTTCTATGTAAGCTGTGAATTTCACTGTGCTATTGCTAAACCCAGCAGATCAAACTGGTTCACAGAGCATAGGGTTGTACATGTTTTCTGTATAGATGTGAAGAGGTCACAAGGTTCTTTGGAAAATACCTTGCACATGTACATTATATACTTTGGTGATGTAGCTCAGGTTTAGTTTCATGGAGGCTTTTAAGGGTGTATCCTGCACAAAACAAGCTTGCTAGAAAGCAAAAGTGGATAAAGGCTCTGTTCACACACCATTTGCTTATCAACGATCAGCTTGTTTTTGCTGCTTTGCTTTGCTGGGTGTCAGTGTCTAAATTGTATGGGTTGGCTTGGTTTCTTTACTGACATTGAAAGTATTGAATGCTTATTATTGCAGATCTTGCTATTGAAGACTTTGCAAATGCCAAAGATGCCAAAGGGGCTCTTAAAAGGGCATCAAGAGGATTTGCAAATATGAGCGCAGGTTTGAGAATAATGTTGACTTTAGGTACAGCTGTACCCTACAAACAGAGGTTTCAACGATGCAAACGACTTTGTAAATCCTGAAAAATATCCCAGAAAGAAACATCTGCTTGCAGGGTAGTTTTTAGGTACATATATATTAACCCTTTAAGTCCCAATAGTGACCAACTTCATTTTGCTTCTTTATGATATCCATACATCGTCAAGAGATTAGGTTATGAGAATTAATAAAATTATCACCTAAGAGAAAATGCTTTGATCTTTTATCAAATTCTCTAACTCATTCTTTAAGAAAATATATAGAGATCAGTTTGGAGAATTTCTATGTGGATATTGGGACTTGTGAAGGGTTAAAAACCTTAAGACTTTCACTCTGGCATTTGTTCACCTCTCCTGGTTCTGTACATATTGTTAACATGATACCACCAGAAGTAGTCGTAATGGAATGAGTTGTCCCAACTCAAGTTTACCCTAGTTGTAACAGTGTCAGGTAAACAAAGATCAACCACTTATTTTGGTATTAATCTGAATCGATAGTGCATGGGTGATTTTTGTCAATCCAAGATGGTGTCATCACCTTGGAGGAAAGGAGGAGAAGACATGTAAAATAATGTACATTAAGGGTTGTTTAATGGGCAACTGTACTTTGAACTCTCTCATTGATAATGATAATTTAACATAAGATTTCACATAAGATAAATGTACATACGCTATGTTACAAATTGTCAATAATAATATATTATAAAATAAATAAACTAATCATTAAATCCTACAAGTAACTATCCTGTATCAAGGTTGTGTTTAAATATTAATCTATTCACAAAGGCAGATATGAAATGCTCAGTATTAATTACAGGATGGGCACATTGTTTTTTTTTTTGGAGATTGTAAGAACAGACTTTTTTGAAGAATTGTATGGAGTGAGTGGATTATTATGAACTGAGGTTGCTTTCTAAAAAATTCCACAGTCTTGCCTCTCCAAGAGATCCTCAATTGAAACAAGATAAGAAATAAAACAGTGCTTATGACAACTTTTTAAAAAATTTCTGTATAAAAAAGATCAGGTTCGGATGCTCCATACACAGAAAATGGATTGCAATGCACAATTATAGTTAAGAGAAGTGCCACGTGATAACCAAAGGTGATTGTCTTGTTACCTAGCCACATGAACTGATTATAAGTGTTTGTTCTTTTTTCTTTGAAGCTGCTTTAGTCATTGAAGCTCAAAAGGAGAATCTAGTTCCATGGTACGAAAGAACTGACTTTGATTTACCATCAGAAGAAGAGGAAGATGAAAAAGAAAGGCTAGTCAAGGGAAGACGAAAAGGATCAAAGAAAATCCCAAAGAAAGAGAGCCCAGATCATAATCAGTGTGGATTTACATACCCACTTGATGTGTGGTGTTTGTTAGCTCAGTACATTCGACCTGAACAAGTTCAGAACTTTGCATTGATCTGCAAAGGAGCGAGAGATGCGACAAATATGAGAACCTTTTGGCTGAGAATCTACAAACGGCATATTAGCCAGCCAATGAAACTTCCTGAAAGGCTTCAACCTCACAGAATAGATTGCCGTCCTGGTCTACGTGCAAGGATCATACGAGCTTTATATCATGGCTATGGTTTATTCAGAACTCAATTGCTCTCAAATACATGTATTGTAACAGATCCCAGTGAACTTGAGTCACAGCTGTGTATTTCCATGTGGTACAAGCAGGTGATGTGTAAAAAACAAACTAGGAAAGTCTGGGTGTTTTATTTCAAGTTTTCCAGGAAATACGGCGGTGGAAAACGAAAGCCAGGGTACATGTCTCTCTCTTCTAATTGGTTGGATCAAGTCGATGATGTACGTCATAATCCTGAAGAACATAACTGCATTCTGCAGGTAAACTGCGTCAACTTTCTCCCAGTGTCTCCCATTCAAGGACATGTGTTAACTAGAGCCTCAGTTGGTGTGAGCCGTGATATGAAGCATACCACAGTCAAGTTAACATTTCACTCGCCGCGGACTGACGGAAGGTACAGAAAGGAGGAGGGAACAATTGTTGTTTTAGACCCAGCATATGATCTCAAGGTCATCAACTGGTGGAGTCCAAGCTACCCTCACCACAAATATGAGTTATAAGTATACTGAAAATC